CTCTCTCATTTCTCTTACTTCCCTTTCACCCCTCTTTGGCGGCAAGGGCTAACCTTGGGTGGCGATGGACCTCTGCCTTGACCCACACTTGGGTATAGTTTCCCGGTAGCACTGTTAGCGTAACGTTTCCAGCCAAGCCCTTCTTGTTATGGTGCGTTACGTAACCCCTTGTTGGGCTCGGTGGTGGGCGGTGCACTGCGGATACTCAACACTCTTTGCCCTCTCTTCCAAACCCCGTTCAGGGCAAGCCTTTAAAAGGCGTTGTCTTGAACTCAAGACCATCGACAAAGATTCTGAAGGAGAAACATTTACGAAGTTTTTTGTCGTTCATTCACTTGATGGACAAAAACCTGTTGCAAAGCTGTCGCCGTTTGTTGTTGCGAAGGTACTCGAAAACCTTGTCGGATTCTCCTACAAGGCTAAAAAGCAGCACTCTGGAGACCTCCTAGTGGAGGTAACCACCAAAAAACAAAGTGAAGCGATCCTGAAGCTGACTGGTTTTCTTGATGTTAAAGTGTCGGTTAGCCCTCACCTCATGCTCAGCACTATCCGTGGGGTCCTCTACGAGGACGACTTCTTACACACTAGTGAGGAAGAACTTCTCGAGGGACTCCAAGGTGTTGGCGTTGTTGCCGTTAAGCGAATCATATTCCGTAAAAATGGTGAGGAAATTCCTTCCAAACACGTAATCCTTACTTTTGACTGAAACACGCTGCCAGAAACCATCAAGGCAGGGTACCTTAACTGCCGCATCTGCCCTTAAGTCCCCAACCCCCAGCGGTGCTTCCGTTGCCAGCGTTTTGGCCATGGATCACGCAGCTGTCGAGCGAAGGAGACGTGTGCAATGTGCGGCAACCACGACCATCTAGCCGACATCTGTGAAGCGGCAGCTTTCTGTGCCAACTGCAAGGGTCCTCACCCTGCGTACTCTCGTTCTTGCCCCTCATGGCGACAAGAAAAAGAAATCCTCACCTTAAGGGCAAAAGAAAACTTATCTTATCCAGAGGCAAAGCAAAGGTTCCCCTTTCTTTCGAAAGGCACGTACTCGGACGCGGTGCGCAGGGGCCCTCCACCGCGAATGGAATCCAAGGCCACCCAGGTCTCGCGTGAAGCCCTGGCAGTGGCCCTTCGGGCCCCATCCCCCCCGCGGGGGCAGCAGCTTCCCCCACCTTCTGGAGGGAGCACATCAGCAGCCCCCAAGCCTCAGGACAGGCAGGCAATGCCAATGCCCGTCCTGACCGCGACGCCTTCCCCCGGTGGAAAGGAGCGACACTCTCGCCGCAATTCACTGGAGAGGGCCCCCTCCATCAAGGAGCGGCACAACCCTTGTGCTGCTCTCCTGGTACACAAGGGGCAGGAACGGGTGGACCCTGGGTGAGAGCTCACCCAGTACCTCGTCCGCCTCTTCAACTGGGTTTGGTCGGGGCCGGGGTTTGCCACCTCGTGAAACAAAATGATGAAATTTGTTTTTATGCAGTAAAATTGCCGCGGCCTTCTACGGAATATTGACGATATTAACGTTTTAATGGATAAACTCCGTCCTATAGCCCTGTCTACGTCGTCACCAAGTTTTTAGAAAGGATCGTTCCACATCAAACTCATCTGGTGGAGTGGCGGTGATCGTCCAAAGTGGAGTTGCTTGTTCTCAGATTCCTCTTTCTACACCCCTTGAGGCTGTAGCTCCTCTTGGACCGCTTTATCACCGTTGTTTTTATCTATTTTCCACCAAATGTTCCACTGCATATTCATGATCTCCATGATTTAGTTACTCAGCTCCCTCACCCCTTTTTACTTTTAGGAGATTTTAATACCCACCATCCCTTGTGGGGTGGTACACGCCAGGACTCGTGTGGTGGGGTCATTGAACGTGTTTTACTGTCATCTAATCTATGTCTTTTGAACAGCAGAGAGCCTACCTTCTTTAGCGCAGCTCACAACTCATTTACATCCCTTGATCTTTCCATTTCATCTCCATCCTTGGTGCCTTGTTTCACATGAAGCGTTTTAAATAATCCTTTTAGAAGCGACCACTTTCCGGTTGCTCTGGAGAGCGTTAAGTTTTATATTATTTACAAACTGAAAGCCCTTTCGGGCTGTTTCAGGAGTGTACAGCAATAAAACAACAGAAATACAGAACCAAAGATCAAGAACAATCACCGCAATACAATCATTTGAGTACAATTTCGGTTGAACCACACCACCGAAAGTCACCACCACCAAGGAATACTAGTATGGCTCTGTATATAAATCAAATAATACAGCTTCAAACTTATCGGCACTGCCAATCCCAACAAAGAGGTCGCCATCCAAACTATTCCACTCCTCAATTGTTCTTACAAGAAAAGAGTACTTAAAAACATCGAGATTTGGTAAATACGGCTTGACTCCAAACTGATTATTAACTCTCGGGGACCTTCTACCAGGAAGCTGTATATAGTCACTCGAACTGATGTTATAATGCCCATTGTAGAGTTGATAGAAAAATTTTAACCTTCCAATTTTTCTCCGCTGACCCAAAGTTGGCAGCCCCGCTTTTTTTAATAGTTCTGTTACCGATTCCGTGCGGCGATACTCTGAATAAACAAATCTTACTGCCCGCCGCTGGATACGCTCAAGTTGTTCTACTTGATATTTGACATATGAATCCCAGATCACGTGCGCGTATTCAAGAGATGATCGAACTAGAGTCTTATACGCAAATAATTTAACTTCAGGCGTTGTATTTTTGAGCGCCCGTCTTAAAAACCCAAGTTTTCGCAAAGCCGCACTACAGACATTTCCTATATGTTCCCTCCAGTTTAGATCGTTAGAAATTGTGACCCCTAAGTATTTAAAAGTTTCGGATTGTTTCAAAAGTGCACAATTATAGGAATACGGAAATATATTAGGCGACCTCCTTTTTGTGATTGTTACAAAAGTTGTCTTTTCAAAATTTATCTTCTTATCCCATTTTTGACACCACTCGTGCATAGTCATTTAATAGCATTTGGTCCCGTTGTGAATTAACTTTGATGTACATTAGACAATCGTCTGCAAAAAGACGGACTTCAACAGATGAATGAATTTCAGTTGCAATGTCATTTATGTACGCAAGAAACAAAATTGGTCCCGAAACCGAGCCCTGAGGCACACCGGAAGTGACTGGCAGCAGCGTGGAAGTTTCCCCAGCGATCTCAACAAATTGAAATCTGTTTGACAAGTAAGATTTGATCCAAGAAACAATAGGCGTACTTACCCCTAAATCCAACAATTTTTTTAGCAGCTTCGAGTGCGTGACTCGGTCAAATGCTTTTGACAAATCAATTGATATCACATCTACTTGACCACGCTTATTTAAAACAGATTCGAAATAATGAGTCGCTTCAAATAACTGGGTGACAGTTGATAACTTCCTTCTAAAACAATGTTGTTTTTCGTAAAACAGACCATTCTGTTCGATGAAGTCTGTGAGATGCTTACAAAAAATATGTTCGAGGAGTTTGCAGGCAGTAGAAGTAAGGGATATCGGCCGATAATTTCCGACATCAAGCCGACTCCCGGATTTATGAATAGGGACTACTCGCGCAAGTAACCAGTCCTTAGGTAGCCTCCCCTGGCTCAATGACGCTTGAAAAATAAGTACTAGAAACTCAGCAGCTCATAGACAGTAACGCCTCAAAAATTCATTTGGAATGTTATCTGGACCCGGTGCCTTTTTTACATCGATGTTCAGTAGCATAGAAAGAACACCCTCATATGAGACAACAATCTCTGTTTCAGGCAGACCAGTAACATTAGTTATGACACTTTCACGATCATTATCTTCGGTAAAAACAGAATGAAAAAACTTATTAAATTCAGTCGCCACAAATGCTGGATTGCTGTATACTTTTCCATCCTTCATGATTTCGTTAACTTTATGTTCCTTACATGACAGATACTGCCGGAATCTGCGTGGCGAGTCCCTTAAGTAATCGCTTAAGTTAGTCGAAAGGAACTCTGTTCTAGCAGCCTTGACCTTTGATCGTACTTCACGGCTTAGATTAGCAATCTCTAAAGCGTTCTTATTTTTCTTCTTTCTTTTTCGTTTTAGTTTACGTTTAAGGTGAATTATGTCCCGTGTTATCCATGGATTAGACTTGTTTCTTTTTATTGTTTTTTTTCGGAACAAATCTTGCAAGACAGTAGGCGACTGCCCTCTGAGAAATAGCCCCACAAATAATCTACGTCATTATTTTTATCTATGTGATCTAGAGATAGTTCGAGATAATCTAATATTGATGTGTCGTCTGCTCGTGAAAAATCATAAACAATTTTAGGGTCCATTTTCTGAAAGCGTAGACTGCCTAACTCTAGAGTCAAGATAACCATATTATGATCTCAAATTCCGTGCTCTACACACACTTTGTAATTCGAAAAGTAATCAGATACCAGGCAGATATCTAATACAGATTGGCATGATCCCTGAATTCTGGTTGGTTCGTTAACTACCTGCGTCAGTCCATATTTAAGCATTATATCAAACAAATATTCTCCATGTAATCTATCCGCTCTGCCTGGGCTTAGTTCGTGCCAGCAAATATGTGGCAGGTTAAAGTCGCCCGTTAGGATAATTTTAGTTCTGTTTTTCACAAGAGTTGTTAAATAATCGTCTATTTTGTCGAGGAAATTAATTCCAGTGCCCAGGGCCCTATACACCCCACCAATTAAGAAGACCATCTCGTCAAGGAGTAGTTTACACCATACAATCTCATGGTCGTTAATACCAGGCAACGCCTCATACTTTAGAGATTCCTTTATAAGAATGGCAACGCCTCCTCCTCTAGTTTTCTGTCCTTCCGTAGCACGCTATAGTCCCTTGGAAACACTTCGGAGTCGGCAATGTTACTATGTAGCCAAGTCTCGGTTACGACAATAACATGTGGATCATGCTGAATAATAATATATTCCAATTCCGGTGCTTTGTTTAGTATGCTTTGTGCGTTTATTGTGATTATTCGTACATCTTTTTTCTTTTTATGTCAATTTTGTTGAGAGGCCATTGGCATGACCTGTGCACTCTGTTGAACGCGCGTGTTCGTTACAGAATCCCAGACGTAGGCTACGTCATTTACGAAAAGCTTGTCATACACAAGTCGCACTTTATCTCCGTTCCGTTTCTCTTGTCGTCCCGAGTTCCAAAGTTGCCGTCGCTTTTCCACTGTCTCCTTTGAATAGTCATCGGACACGCTCACGGGGGTATTTTTTAGTTTCCTGCAGTTCTTGAACACCAGCTGCTTCTCGTTGTAATTATATACTCTGAGGATGACGGGTCTGTTTTTATCTTGTCGTTTCGGGCCCAAACGATGGATTCTTTCAACAGACGTCACAGTTACACCAAGTTGTCCGAAGAAGATATCTCTTATCACTTTCTGTTCCAAATCTGCAGCTGTCTCATTGTTCGCTTCTGGAATGCCGAACACAATCATATTATTTCGCCTCTCCCTATCCTCAAGGTTACTTAGCCTTTGTTGCTGCAATTCAATGGTCTTTTCTAGCGAAGTAACTGTGACCTCAACGTTAGCTTGCTTATTTTTGTTTTCTGTAATCATTTTTGAAATTTCATCTAGTTGACCAAGCCTATTTTTCATTGCCCGGAGCCTATTATCCGCGGTTCTTTCGTTTGCTTTAATTTCTGCTATATCTTTAGCTATTTCCTTTTGTTTGTCTAATATTTCTCGCAGCAGTTCCTTAGTATCGCTGGCAGGACCTGGGTTTTCCTCTACTTCTCCGGATAACAACAGAACAATTCCAGTCCACCAGCAGTTCAACATCTCACAAAGAAATGTGGGGTGCGGCAGCACAAGAACGCATGCATCATTAGATTGAAATTCGAAGGCGAACTTATAGTAACCAACCTGTAAGACGATCCATGCAGTTTTGAGTGACATGACTCTGGGAAAGCTGCCGCCCCCACTGGAGACCGCTGGTCTTGTGTCGGGTTTTGTAGGGTTCCCTGGCGACGTCATCGTCGTCTTCTGACGATGATTCCAGTCGATGTCACTGGCGAATCGGGAATGAAGCCACGGTGATTCAGCACTTGGTGGATTATCGACGTAGACGGTTCCAGATGTTTCGCAGTTGATCAGCAGCGGCAGTGTCTGTAAGACGATCCATGTAGTTTTGAGTGACATGACTCTGGGAGAGCTGCCGCCCCTACTGGAGACTGCTGGTCTTGTGTCGGGTTTTATAGGGTTCCCTGGTGACGTCATCGTCGTCTTCTGATGATGATTCCAGTCGATGTCACTGGCGAATCGGGAATGAAGCCACGGTGATTCAGCGCTTGGTGGACGATCGACGTAGACGGTTCCAGATGTTTCGCAGTTGATCAGCAGCGGCAGTGTCTGTAAGACGATCCATGCAGTTTTGAGTGACATGACTCTGGGAGAGCTGCCGCCCCCACTGGAGACTGCTGGTCTTGTGTCGGGTTTTATAGGGTTCCCTGGTGACGTCATCGTCGTCTTCTGATGATGATTCCAGTCGATGTCACTGGCGAATCGGGAATGAAGCCACGGTGATTCAGCGCTTGGTGGACGATCGACGTAGACGGTTCCAGATGTTTTGCAGTTGATCAGCAGCGGCAGTGTCTGTAAGACGATCCATGCAGTTTTGAGTGACATGACACTGGGAAAGCTGCCGCCCCCACTGGAGACTGCTGGTCTTGTGTCGGGTTTTCTAGGGTTCCCTGGTGACGTCATCGTCGTCTTCTGATGATGATTCCAGTCGATGTCACTGGCGAATCGGGAATGAAGCCACGGTGATTCAGCGCTTGGTGGACGATCGACGTAGACGGTTCCAGATGTTTCGCAGTTGATCAGCAGCGGCAGTGTCTGTAAGACGATCCATGCAGTTTTGAGTGACATGACTCTGGGAGAGCTGCCGCCCCCACTGGAGACTGCTAGTCTTGTGTCGGGTTTTATAGGGTTCCCTGGTGACGTCATCGTCGTCTTCTGATGATGATTCCAGTCGATGTCACTGGCGAATCGGGAATGAAGCCACGGTGATTCAGCGCTTGGTGGACGATCGACGTAAGCGGTTCCAGATGTTTCGCAGTTGATCAGCAGCGGCAGTGTCTGTAAGACGATCCATGCAGTTTTGAGTGACATGACTCTGGGAAAGCTGCCGCCCCCACTGGAGACTGCTGGTCTGTGTCGGGTTTTATAGGGTTCCCTGGTGACGTCATCGTCGTCTTCTGATGATGATTCCAGTCGATGTCACTGGCGAATCGGGAATGAAGCCACGGTGATTCAGCGCTTGGTGGACGATCGACGTAGACGGTTCCAGATGTTTCGCAGTCGATCAGCAGCGGCAGTGTCTGTAAGACGATCCATGCAGTTTTGAGTGACATGACTCTGGGAGAGCTGCCGCCCCCACTGGAGACTGCTAGTCTTGTGTCGGGTTTTATAGGGTTCCCTGGTGACGTCATCGTCGTCTTCTGATGATGATTCCTGTCGATGTCACTGGCGAATCGGGAATGAAGCCACGGTGATTCAGCGCTTGGTGGACGATCGACGTAAACTGTTCCAGATGTTTCGCAGTTGATCAGCAGCGGCAGTGTCTGTAAGACGATCCATGCAGTTTTGAGTGATATGACTCTGGGAAAGCTGCCGCCCCCACTGGAGACTGCTGGTTTGTGTCGGGTTTTATAGGGTTCCCTGGTGACGTCATCGTCGTCTTCTGATGATGATTCCAGTCGATGTCACTGGCGAATCGGGAATGAAGCCACGGTGATTCAGCGCTTGGTGGACGATCGACGTAGACGGTTCCAGATGTTTCGCAGTCGATCAGCAGCGGCAGTGTCTGTAAGACGATCCATGCAGTTTTGAGTGACATGACTCTGGGAGAGCTGCCGCCCCCACTGGAGACTGCTGGTCTTGTGTCGGGTTTTATAGGGTTCCTTGGTGATTCATCGTCGTCTTCTGATGATGATTCCAGTCGATGTCACTGGCAAATCGGGAATGAAGCCACGGTGATTCAGCGCTTGGTGGACGATCGACGTAGACGGTTCCAGATGTTTCGCAGTTGATCAGCAGCGGCAGTGTCTGTAAGACGATCCATGCAGTTTTGAGTGACACGACTCTGGGAAAGCTGCCGCCCCCACTCACAGTCTATTCACAGTCTCATGATATGAACTTTGCGTTGGAGGCCAGAAAAAGCTGACTGGGCTCTTTTTAGCCAAAATTCCAAGCTTGCTCCCTCTATGTTCTCTTCATTAACTCATGACGATGCCACAGCCTACATCACAGAGCATATAATTGGTGCTGCTCTTTTCTCCGTCCCTCAAACTTCTTCGAACATCCCCAAAAAATGTAAGCCATGGTGGAATCAGGATTGTTCCACCACAAAGAATAACCAAGATAAGGCTTGGGGTGTCTTTTGTAAATACCCGACATCTATGAGCTTGATTGAATTCAAGAGAGGCAGAGCTTGTGCCCGCTGGACTCGAAAGCAGGCTAAAGGAAAATCTTGGAGAGGTTACTTGTCCTCCATCAGCAGCTCTGTTCCAGCAAAGGAAGTGTGAGACCGACTTCACAAGATCGAGGGGAAATATTGTTGTTTTACGATCCCCCTTTTTCCTTCTTCTGGAGCCTCATTGTTAGACCAGGCTAATGTGTTGGGCACTCACTTCGCTGCTGTTTCGAACTCCGCACATTACTCTCCAGCATTCCTGAAGCATAAGGCAAGCATGGAAAAGACGAGGCTCTGTTTCACAGGGGGAGCGTCTGCACCTTACAATCAGCCATTTACAATGGTTGAGCTCGATGTGGTTCTCAACTCCTGCAAAAATTCTGCCCCCGGTCCCGATCGAATTCACTACGACATGATCCGACACTTATCTAGAGAGTCCCTCAGTGCTCTTCTCACATCAATGGCCTGCGGTGTAATGCCTACTTCTCTGTTGAATGGTAGCGGGCTGAAGTTATACCGCTGTTGAAACCTGGCAAGGACCCTTCCCTCCCTGCAATTTACAGACCAATAGCATTGTCAAGTTGTCTGGGGAAAACCTTTGAAAGATTAATTAAAAGGAGTCTTATTTATTTTATCGAGCAGCATAATGTCTTTGATATCAATCAGTGTGGCTGTCGGCCTGAACGCTCTACAACAGACCAGTTGGTGCGGCTGGAGACCTTTGTGCGCGAGGCATTCGTCAACAGGCAGCATTGTGTATCTGTTTTCTTTGATTTGGATAAGGCCTATGACACCACTTGGAAGTATGGAATCTTGCACGACCTTTCTATGTACGGAATACGCGGTAGAATGCTTCAGTGTATAAAAAGCTTTTTGTGTAAACGCACTTTTCGAGTTCGGTTGGGAACAGCTTTATCAGACTGGTTCGTTCAAGAGAATGGTGTTCCTCAGGGTGGAGTCCTAAGCGTCACACTCTTTGCAATAAAAATTAACCCTCTTAGTAAAGTCATTCCTCCTTCAGTATCTTACTCGCTATACGCCGATGACATTCAGATATCTGTAGCGTCATGTAATATGTCTAGCTGTGAGCGGCAGCTACAACTGGCCATAAATAAAATGACTACATGGGCTGACGAGAACGGTTTTAAGTTCTCTCCGGAGAAAACTGTTTGTGTTCCTTTTTTTTAAAGGTGTGGGCTCTGTTTAGATCCTATACTTCTTTTAAATGGAAACAACATTGCTGTCAAAACGGAGCACAAGTTTCTAGGAGTTACTTTTGACCGTAAACTTACCTTTGTTTCGCATCTCAAACAGTTCAAGCAAAAAACTCAGCAGGCATCGAACATACTCAAAGTTCTTTCGCACAAGTCGTGGAACTCGGATAGGAAATGTCTCCTTCGTCTACATTATTCTCTCATTCGATCCCGCCTTGACTATGGCTCAACTGTCTACGCCTCTGCGAGACCGTCTGCTTTAAAAATGCTCGATCCAGTACATCACCTTGGGCTGCGTTTGGCATCTGGTGTTTTTCGCACCTCCCCTGTGCTTATCTTGTATGTTGACTGTCATGAAATGTCGCTCGAAAAAAGGCGACAGCTGCTTAGCCTCACCTATGTTTACAAAATTTTGTCGGACCCCAGCTCCCCCACTTATAGTTGTATTCAAAACTCTAGGTTTTCTCGCCTCTTAAACCATAAGGCAACTGTCGTGCGGCCTTTGAGCCTTCGTGTCGAGAGTCTTCGCTCCTCCCTCAATCTGACTCGTGATTTTAACCTCTTGAATAGTTCATACCGTACTGCCCCATGGAATGTCAAACCCATTTTTTGTGACTGGTGCTTCACAAAATTCAGGAAACAAAGATTCTCACCTTTAATTTTACAGCAGGAATTCTTTGCATTGGAGGAAGAATACAAATGTTATAATCATTTTTACACTGATAGTGCAAAGTAGTCAATGTATGTTGGTGCGGCAGTATACTCTTCACGTTTTTCCAAAGTCGCTCGTCTAAACACTCTTGCCAGTATTTTTACTGCCGAGCTATATGGGGTCATGACGGCGCTTGACTATGTAGTTCAGAGTAAAATAAAGAAAGCCATCATCTTTGTAGATTCCCAGAGTGGTGTTCGGGCTGTATGTTCTGTTT